AATTTGTATATATATATATATATATATATATATTGTACATCCCACATCGCTCAGGGGAGTGATCCTTAAATGTATATTCTCATCCCTACCTAGCACGAGGCCTTTTGGGAGCTCACTAACTTTGGGTTCCGTAGGAACTCCGAAGTTAAGCGAGTAGCGCACGAGAGCATTCCCAGGATGGGTGACCCATCGGGAAGTTGTCATGTGAGTACCCAAAAACAAAACCGTGAGGGCGTGGTCAGAGCCCAAAGCGGACAATATCGTGCTACGTGGTGGAGCGGGGCGGGGAAGTGATTCCGCCCCAAGCGGGGATGTGACAATTTGGTATCAGAGCCTAACCCTGGTCGCGTGTGTGCCGACGAGGACGTCGGGCCCCTAAGGGGGGTGGATTGTAACATCCCACATCGCCCAGGGGAGTGATCCTTAAATGTATATTCCCATCCCTACCTAGCACGAGGTCTTTTGGGAGCTCACTAGCTTCGGGTTCCGTAGGAACTCCGAAGTTAAGCGAGTAGCGCATGAGCATTCCCAGGATGGGTGACCCATCGGGAAGTTCTCGTGTGAGTTCCCAAAAACAAAACCGTGAGGACGTGGTCGGAGCCCAAAGCGGACAATATCGTGTTACGGTGGTGGAGCGGGCCGGGGAAGTGATTCCGCCCTAGGCGGGGATGTGACATATATATACATATACATATACATATACATATACATATATATATATATATATATATAGAATGTTATGAGACAAAAATAATTGAATTCAGTTTATATATTGTTTTGGAGGTTATTGCTTGTATTTGAAGTTTAGTTAAGATCTTAGTTTATATATGGTTTGGAGGTTATTGCTTGTATGACTTTCTCATATTGGTTTTTTATTCATTGAGGGGGACACATCAAAGACTAACCAATTTAATGTTTATAGCACAAGAGAAAATCACAAGGTTTAAAAGGAGGAGGAAGAGCCCCTTAGCTTTGCAGTTTAGTGGTATCTCTATTTACTTGTAAGTGAAAAGTCTTATATTTGACTCTCGCCAAAGGCAAATTCAAACCACATTATTGTTAGCCCATACTGGGACTTGACACACTCCTCCTACTTTTTAGTGTATATTATATCGCTTGTTAAAAAAAAAAAAAAAAAAAAAAAAAAGAGGGAGGAAGAACAAGTCTTCTCCTACTCTTTAATATTTCTTATTTTTGTCTTAACATATATTCAAAAAGTTAAATTTCATTTTAAGTTAATTCAAAATAGATGGAGTAGCCCGACCTTTTATATAGGATCATGTAGATTTCTTAATTATTCGATGTGAAACTCTAACTTAATACCTCACAATACAACAAGTCCCTTACGACTTGATCTAATTGTTTGTGTAAATTTGATATGCTTTAGTTTTAGTTCAATCTTCTGCACCCATTCGTGTAAGTGACATCTCTAAAGCCTGTTTAAAATCATGACACTTGTCCACTAATTGAACCAAAACTTAACAGGTGTCAAAAAGTTAGAGAGGTCACAAAAATGAGTGCAGAAGAGAATGGAACTGTGGTTTTGCAGTCTTAAAATTTGTGTTTATACGATTGAAGCTTTTTTCATGATTTTCGTAGTTTTGTTCAAAAACAAAAAGAGAACATAATTTCTTTTCTATTTTTTTTTTCAATGAATACAACCAAGATGCAATTATAAAGTGGGGACTGTCCCTTTGTCATTTAGTACATCCATTATGTAATTAGAAGCATTATCCATATCTGCCTATGAATTCAATTAATCTTAATCAAGTTCCTTGCTTACAAAACAATAGTGTATTTGTTTACCAACAACAATTGCCTTAAGCTGGGAAAGAAATTCTCTCCGGATCCCTTTTACCTAATCTTCTTCATCAAACAATTCGAACCTTTGAAATTTGATCCAACGATTAAAAACACGGGTCCACTTTAAATGTTATAATAACTTTAGTCGTTGGATTAAATTTTAAAGATCCATATTGTTTGATGAGGAGGATTAGGTGGAAAGGATCCGAAGATGATCCTCATCCTTAAGTTGGAGGCTTTCGTTGGTGGGTAGAAAAGAAATACTATTGTTCCTTGTCATGATCCTTTCCCTTATTTTGGATCTGTTTAATTATTATACCCTTTCCGCTAGTTGAGTAGTTTTTGAGTTACTTAATGATTGATCCAATACTTATGTATCTTGAATTCTTGATTATTCAAATATTCAAACCTCACAGATTTCTAGATGACATACTAAGAATTGAAATTAGTATTATTTTTTCAATCGTACTTTTGTAATTGAGCAATAATGTCAAAGAGAACTATGCAGGGCTCTCCGAGTAGGCAGGCTAGGCGAGCTTAAGTGGGTTGGACGGCTTATATGTTACAAAAGAACATCTCTAAAGAAGTTAGCAAATTTTTTCTTTAAAAATGTCCTTTGCTAACTCATTTAGAACTTTTTTTTTTGTTTTTTTTTTGCTAGGTAATAAACTTTATTAAGATAAAGAGAATCCTTGAGAACAATCGGAACCCATGCAGTTAAATAAAAACGCTTGGCGTGCCTCACTAGGAAGCACCCTATTCCTAATACAAATGTCATCAACATTGTGACTAATGAAACTAATAGCATATGCGAGGAAGTTAAGTTGGCTTCTCTATAAATATGTTGCCACTGAATAGAATCAAAAGAGACCGCCAGCTGTTTGATGTTCTCAAAATAGTTCTAAACCTTCATAAGATCTTGCAACGTCGAGAATCCTATATATTTTAAAAAATACTTTTGAATAAAATATGGATCCAACAAGTACACTTGAAGAATTATTTGGTCTTTAAATGTCCTTTGTGAGGTCCAAATTTTATTTTCAAAAGTTTTACTAATACTTTTGAATAAAATATATTGCAGGATCCGATTTGCTAACTTGAAGAATTAGCAATTGATACTGTAAATATACAAGGTTAGTTGCTACTTCTTTAATTTATTAAATGAGTTGCTACTTCCGTCGGAGATGCATTTTTTTACGTAGCACATCTAATCCATCTTTGCCACCCAATTGCTACATCCCTCAAGGATCCTCTAACAAATTTAATTAAAATAAGAAAACTGCCTATACCCGCCTTAGCTACACAAACTAAGGAAAGAAATCATAGTTAGAATTTGGTATAGCTGATGTCACATTTCATCTCAAGTTCATGCATAACTAATACCACAAAAGCCCAACTTAATAAATAAGTTGTTGAACACTTCACCAACCACTGTCTTTGTAATACATCTGTCATTTGATAATCTGACTTCACAAATGGCCGGATATAATAATCTTTGCTTCCAGCTTATCAACCTCAACATGTTGAATTAAATTATGCACAATATCAATAGTAGTTTTGTTGTAGCCATTTAGTTCAAAAAAAATAAAAAAATCAAGAGACAATAAAAAACAAGTGTAGAGATCATTTCTCGTTAGTAAAATATAAACATCAAATAGTCAGACTATTTTAACCAATAAATTTCATTATAAGCATAAATATCAAAATTTAACAATTAAAAAACCCGCATCCTCAAATTTTTGCACTATAAAATTCATAAATTGAAAGTTAAATATCATTTTTAACTTGACAGGATAGACACACTTCTTGTTAATTTTTATCTTTTAATCTTCATTAATTCAATCGTTTCGATAATAAATAATTTAAAAAATATGTAAGAAATAAAAATAAATGACAAAAAGAAAACACCTCGAATGGGAAAGCGTTGGCAGTGACGCGGGAACACCTTAAAAAGAAAAAGAAGAGCAGAAATGTAGTGACAAGCCATACGTTTCATGTCCCCACCAACAAATGCGCACTCATTTCTTCTCTGATTGGTCTGCCCTTCACACCTTGTGGGACAGTGTTTCTGCAAACCCCACCCTCTTTGGATCATAAAACAAAAATAAAGTTAAAAGTAAGTGCCCAAAAGTAAAAATATCCCAAAAGAAGAAACAAGACCCCAAAAGGATATTTATTAAATAGATAATGTTAGAGAGATTAAGATTACAAGTTAAATAATGTGTCATCAATAAGTACAATATTTGGTAATAAACTAATCATTAACTTTTATGTCTTTTAGTTTTCAAAACATTATCTATAAATTTAGCCTTCCTAGCATAACACAACCGACCTTTGAAGGATTTGAGAGATTTTCCAATATATCCGGAAGGTGAATTAGTACATTACTAATATAAATTTAGGGAAATAAAAACGGACATTATTTATCTACTTACGTTGCATACATGAAAAAATATATTTCTGCAATTGAATTTTCTCATTCTCCCTTATTGGTTTTATTTCTCATACTACAAGGCAGTAGTTTGTAAAATTTGATTTTCTTAGGAGTAATGCTATTCATACTATATTTTTATACCACATTTTCATACCACTTTAGGTGGCATCTAATGTGGACAACCACATTATTTGAAAAATTTGCAAAACCCAAGGACATGAAGGAGAAAGACTTCTCTTATACCACAATCATTATTTAATTAACTAATTTTTCTTAATTATTAGTTTATTAAATGCCACCTAAGGTGGTATGAAAATGTGATACAAAAATATGGTATGAATAGTATTACTCTTTTCTTAGCATTACTTAGAAAAAAAAAAAGAATCGAAAATGTAAAACAAGAAGTTTGAAATGTGAAGATAGTATTTCTGTTGGGGTAGTGTTATCCACATTCAACTTTACTTCACACACACTTTCTTAAATCTGAGCGTTGAATTCAATAAGTTAAAGAAGAGCAAACATAAAAAATTAACAGATGTATGATAGGTAAAATTGAGTATTTGAATAAAACTATCGTACGTTATTATATAAGAAAAACTAATGAAAAGAGTTTGAAAACTTTGAGTTTTAATTATAAGGATAAAATAAAAGATAAAGTGAATAGTATTAAGATTAACTTTTTAATGTAAAAATATAATTTTTTGTTAAAGTAAACAGTACTAAACTGTTCGTTAAAGTTGGTATTATATATTCTCATCCAACACACAACTGCATAGGCTTTCCGACAAGCTTCAACCCACACCCGCATTTCTCCATTAGATTATCTTTATCATTATTCCTTCTCTGTCCTTCAGAAACTTTGGTTCTCTAGCAGCAGCAGCAATAGTATAATCTCGACTGATGAACTGAGTGTCCTTGGGTCTTGGACGGATCTTCAATTGGAGACACAAATTTCAAATTTCAAGCAAATCGCTTTGACTTTCGAGTTAAAGAGCCAAAGGTAATGGAAAAAGGAGCAAACCTATCTCAGCTTTTCCTTTATTTTATTGTTACTTGCTCTTTTGAGAGCTATTTGTTCATTTTTTTGGTTCGTTTTATGTGACTTTTCGAAGGATTCAAAGGTCGAATTTTGTTTTTGGAATTCTGTGGCACGATCTTGGTCGCTGTGCTTTCCTTTCCCTGTTTTGCTCCCTTGGATTCCGGTGGTAGAATATAATCTCTCCGTGTAGAAAGGTAGGTGGCTTTATTGGACTGTGCAAATATCTTTGCATTATTATTGAAGGGTTTACTTGTTTTTAAGTTTGGGGTTGTGTGTTTCGGAGGAGCTTACTGGCAAAGTGCTTGTTTGGGGTTTTTGGCTTCTGGGTTTTGCTTGTTTTTGGTTGATGTGAAAGATTTCAAGGTAAGGATTTCTGGGTTTTGAGATTGTTCAAGTGGGTTTTGATCTTTGAATTACAAGAAATATTTGTGTAGTTTTATATCTTGCATTATTGCTCAAGGGTTTGCTTCTTTTTAAGTTTGGGGTTGTGGTGGGTTTTTGAGGAGCCTACTGGAAAAGTGCTTTTTGGCTTCTGGGTTTTACCTTTTTTTGGTTTATGTGAACGATTTCAAGGTAAGGGTTTCTGGGTTTTGAGCTTGTTCAAGTGGGTTTTGATCTTTCAATTACAAGAAATTTTTGTTTAATTTTTTATCTTGCTGAAGTTAATAGGTTTGTGTACTCTCAGTTTCTTGTGGTGCTTATACTTTGCTTTGGGGTTTGAGTGGTTCTTATGAAAGTTCCTTCTATGAATGTTTGTCTTCTAAATTCTATATGTTTGAGAATTGGTGTTTATTTCTGGACATGCTAGGATTTAGTTATATTTTATTTTGGGGTCTCGTTTTAAGCATCATAGAAGGTTACAATTTGTGTTCGACTGAATCCTTGGATTTAACTAAAACAGTTCGAGTTTCTAATTTATGCGGTAACTACGCCTTGGATTTTACTGGAGTCGTACGAATTTCTAATTTATGCCTTGAGGTGTTCTATATTCAAATTGGCTTTATATGTTTTTAGTCTAAATTGTATCCAGTTCAGCTAAATATCTGAGCTCGGTCTTTGGAATTAACTAGGTGGTGCTTTCCAATTTTAGACTTATAATTTTGGAGTGACTCGAGTTTTCTCAGAAAGATCTTTGTCGTGCTTTGTCAGGTTAACTTCCTAGGTGTTCATGATCATGGATTCTCCTCTATCTGTTGTGTCTCCATTCAAAAGCCCTGTTGCCGAGCCTGAGAAGCAGTTCATTTGTACCAGTGGGCCCGTATCCAATGCAACTGATGCCAATATAGCTTGTAACTCAGAGAACTTCATTGGTGTTCTCGAGGTTTACGTTCATCGGGCTAGGGACATCCAGAACATCTGCATATACCACAAGCAAGATGTCTACGCTAAGCTATGCCTGACGAGTGATCCTGAAAACACAGTCTCCACCAAGACCATTAATGGTGGTGGTCAAAATCCAGTCTTCAATGACAATGTCCAGCTCAATGTTCGGAGTGTTGATTCCTCCCTCAAATGCGAGATTTGGATGCTGAGCAGGGTCAAGAATTATCTTGAAGATCAGTTGCTGGGGTTTTCTTTGGTGCCTTTGTCGGAGGTCTTCGTTAAGAATGGGAAGTTAGAGAAAGAGTTCTCTCTTTCTTCAACTGATCTGTTTCATTTCCCAGCAGGGTTTGTCCAGTTGTCCCTCTCGTACACTGGAGATATCCCAGAAGTAATGTCCCTGGCCTCAAATCCTATTGTGCAGGACTCGGAGACAGCTGAGTCACGTGAATTAGATAGGTTAGAGTTCCCAGATCCGAACATTGACAATGAAGACCAGAGAATGGTTTCAGAGTACATTAAGTTCCCATGTTCTGAATTTGAGTCTCAAAGCTCTGAGAGCTTTGTCATTGCTGACTCTGAAACTCAGGTTATTTCCGAAGTGGGTATTCATGCTGTTGAAAGTTTCTCGACTGCTACCATTGAATCTACTCCTGTTCGGAAGCTTGATTCTCCCCCAAGCAGTGTGTCAACTAATGGTGTTTCATCTCCATCGGGTCATACAAGCTCAGAGTCGTATGATGCTCCATCAGCTGTGAAATCTCCAAACCACGAACAAGTTTTGGCGGTGGAAGAGAAAAAGGTGGATAAAGATGACGAGATTAATTCGTCTGGTGGGGTGCCAAGTGAGACATTTGAGAATCCTACTGTCACAGTCACCGTTCCAGAGCAAACGGTGAATCCTACTGCCACAGTGACCGTTCCAGAGCAAACGGCGAATCCTACTGTCACAGTGACCGTTCCAGAGAATACGGCGAATCCTACTATCACGGTCACTGTTCCAGAGCACACGGCGGTGCAGCAGGATTTTGTAGACATGTACATGAAAAGCATGCAGCAATTCACCGAGTCCTTGGCAAAAATGAAGCTTCCGTTGGACCTTGAATCACCAACCAATTCAGGAAACTCGAGCACTGATCAGAAAATACAGACACCAAAGAGCAGTGGTTCCCGGGTGTTTTATGGCAGTAGGGCTTTCTTCTGAGCTTTCGTTTCACTTCATCGGAGGAAGAAAAACAGGTGACTCTAGATTTTAGATTACTCGTACTGATGTGTAATAATGTTTTATGTATCGTGGTATTTCCCTTCGTATGTTGAGGTGCTTTAGATGTCACGAAAATCTTGACTTGTACTTGTTACAAGCTTTGTTCTATCACCTTGTATTAGTGCATAAGAACTTCTGTTACATCTTTCCTCCTCGTATCTACTTTTAATTTTAACCTTAATTCTTCGATATCAAACTCCGTCGAACTATATGCTAATCATGTTTATAATCATGAGTTATGTTATAATCGCACAATCACATGGTGTGATTAACGTCAGAAGTTTGGAAGGCCAGAGCAGCTGCAGCTGTGCTTTCGGCCATTGAACATGATTGGTTTTATAATCCAGTGGATCTAATCATGAAAAGGCAAAAAGAATCCACCAGAGATCTTATCCATCCCCATCCATGTGACTTGGACAAGTTTGGTTAATCTTCCATTATTTCATACGTCTCCTCCACAAGTTGATGTTTTTGTGCCTCTTGAAAATTAGGTGTATAATTCGATTCCGTAATTAGTGTAATCTCTGCGACAATTGTTAATGTTAGTGATAAATACTTTCAAGAATCAAATATAGAAATCTCCTCGCATGTTAACGGCCGATATAGTAATGGTCGGGTGCAATAACAGTTTGGTTCAGGATTTTTTTCCTTTCAAGATGGTGTTTCGAGTGTTTAGTTACGAGCTTATACTGAAATTTTGGGATCTTTGTAGCAGAAGACAGATAGAGAAAATATCGATTACAACATCAAAGGGGAAATCTAGGATTCAGGTTATCCAATTCCAAACCATTTCAGATGCATAATTTCAAAGTGGCACTTCAATTATTTCATGTGCTCTGAGGTTAATATGCCTCCTGCAGATCCATGCAATCTGACTATCGTCTCTGTATCTCACTCTCCATAACCTGAACTTCTCAGCGATATCCTTTCTGGTTGAGCTTCTCCGTTCTCTCAGGAAATCCAGAACCCATTGTTGCGCGTTTCTCTCATCTTGCTGGATATCTCTTGAGCTTTCTGCAGCCTTGCTTCTGCTCCTTCCCTGCCCAATTGCTGCAGCCTCCACTGCACCGGCAGCAACTGCCCCTGCGGCTCCATCAAGGAGGGATGAATCGGCCAGGCGGGCAAGTTCCCTGCTCAAATCCGGTATCATTTCTCCCATGCCAGCGGCTAGATGGGCTCCTATCTTGAGATTAAATGTTAGCAGTTTCATGAACTTTGTGGTGTAGGGTGCCAAAGACTTCACGGTCCTGTTGTCAACCTGTTCACACCCCATTTGATCTTCAACGACATGCATTTCTCGTTGAAATTCGCACAACGTGTGCAGTCGAATAGCATTCATGCCGGGAACCATGTTGGTGATCAATCTCCTCGAGTAATTTTCTGTTCTAACAAAGTAGAACATATTCGGCACTTTCTTCGATTTGAACGTTGTATGTCACGAGGTAATTCACTTTGCGATGAAGCTCAGCAAGTAGTCTATGCTCGTAATATCTCAGTCCTTGGATCTCCTGTTTCAAGTCTCTGATTTCTTGCTCAATGATCTTCAGCCTCTGCAAAACCGCTTCAACCCCCTTGGCGATTCCACCAAAAGTTGGATCAACTTTGTCAGGCTCGTCACTTGTGGATATTATGTTCTCCGGGTTGCTCTCAGGTGGGATTTGCAGTTCTTGAGCAAGGTTGTATAGGTCATGATATCTCCGATGCAGCACTTCACGGAAGTCATCATCGGATAGGAGGTCCCAGGCCAAATCAAAACCAGGTTTTAGGATTTGTCTTCCAGAATCTGAGATTGGATCCCAGGTGTGCTGGTAATCGTACATGCTGTCTGCAGGAACAGAAAGTAATGTCTGATTTAATTGTTGCAACGAAACAGACTGCGTTTTCCGGTATCTGGGAGGGGTGAGATTTTGAACGCATTCTGGCCGTATGACATTTTCAGTTAAGGTGATACCGTTGCAGAGGCTATGAATTGCTGGAACTACAAGCTGCTGGATGACCCTTAGGGTTTCTGTCAGGTTCTTGGTGGAGCATGCGAGGAAATCGATGTAGTAACGTAGTTGTCCTCCCAGTTCTACTCTGATATAGATTCCGTTGATATTTATGGAGATCAGGTACTTCTCAGGACCGTAAGATCAACTGTGAGCAATGTTCATCATATATTGTAGCTAAGGACTACTACATTAACTGGTATTGATGTTCGTGTTGTAAGAAACGCGCGTGCACATACGCACATGTATTACAAGAAACCAGAATACCTTGACATTTTATTCCAATGCAGTTATTGGAAAGATTGTATTAAAGTTGAGATATTCAAAGCAGATAGCTACGTATTTGATGAATTTGTGCTGAGGTTTGTTTTGGAAAATGAGACTCAATAAAATCCAAAATAATTCGAAGAAAAAAGTAAACGAAAATTGAAGAGCAAGTTAAAAGGAAGGATTAGGGAAATTCTTGCCTGTAATCGGGGAAAGAAGCTGGTTATGAGGAACATGTGGCTGGAATCATCACATTCAAGATGCCTCCCGGCATAGAGGCACTCCAGTCTGCTTAACTGCCATCTTTGTGGCTTTCCTCTTCCTTCTTCAAGAATGGAGGGGATCAACAGCAAAGAATTACGATATGATGGGTTTTGTTCGTAACATTGTTCCAGTGTAAGCATCATTCACACAAGATCACTTGCATCCAAGTTCTCAAATACCTTCGAACCCATTCCAGGAATCGGACTCTGCAAGCTTCCTCTTAGAATCTTCTCCAAATCTTTCTTGCTGATGAATCCATTATTCTCATTGGAGTTTTGGTTTCTTACATCAAGTCTTATTAGTTGGCCAAGCACCTCGCCGCAAAACCACTCACAATCTAAGATCAGAAACCCGAGCTCATAAATCAATTTCCTCTCCTATGTGATGAAGGCAAGTAGCAACAACCTGTCTCCTCATTTCCACCTTCTCTTTGTTATCGTGTCTTGATTGAATTCTTGGTGATGGAACCTTTACTTGGCATAGCTCGTTGAACTCCTTCCACTCCATCGCAGGCTTGTTGTAGTTCTCGGATCTCCAATCTGATAATATTTGTGTCAGATCATTGCACAGCTGATGGATTCTTGGGACTCTTTGGAGAACCGTCTTGCTTGTCTTTAGAAGGCAGTGAGTGAGCTTACTCACTGATGCCAAAGATCTTGCATCAACTGTGAACACTGTCGGGTAGAAGTCAACAAATCCTTGGAACTTGTCTCGCAATTTCTGAATCGAGTTCACAGCAGCCTGTAAGTTTTTTTGAAGGTTTGATTGATTTTGTCATAGTGCGTGAGTACGACTGTGACATTTGCGAGCATGCATTGCTGCACTCCTATTCTACAGTTTGAGACTATGAACCTGAGCCAGTACTGGAGGTTCTCTGTTGTTCGTTTTCCTGAATAAACTGGATACGATGACAAGAATGACGCAATGCCATGCCCGGGAACATGAGATCATGGAGACAATAGAATTCATGCTGACCAGCAAGATTCCATCTCGAAATATTTGTGTTATCATCTTTGAAAGTCTTTATCTTCATTCCAACTGTTCTAACTGCTTGCTCAACTGGGTTCACTAGAGATCGTACTTGGTCCATGTACGGAAGCTTTGAAGAAGAGAAACTCTGTGATATTGAATTACACAATGTAGTCTTACCTGAAAGTCGAAACCCAAAAAGTTTTTAGGAGATGTCATGTGCTTAAGCCAATTCAATTTTTAAACAAAAGTTTCACAGTTACCTGCATATTCTTGCCCACAGAAGAACACTCAACAACTTTTCAGTACTGGAAGTGGCATGTCTTTAAGCAAATCCATTTCTGGTTCAGCCTTCCCATTCTGCCCTAATCTTTAATGGACCGCATCGGTTTTTCCTGAATTTTGCAGCGGTGTTCTTGCGAGATCAATACTTTCGAGCCAAGGATTTACCTGCAATGTCTCCATGATTGCCTGCAGTACCAGCTCTCCTTGAACACCGTTGCAGCCCTGTAACGATAAGTGTCTCAAGCTGGCATTTTTCTCCAAGCTTTTGAAGAGTTTAACAAAATCATCGGGCCTTAAATTTTCATCATCGTATATCCCTAACCGCATTAAACTTTCGTTGGTTGTCAGTATCTGTAAAATGGTTACAAGTCCCTCCCTCCCAATGTTGGTTCTTCCACCCCGAAGTGTTACTGCTTTTAAAGTAATGTTTGCTTGATATTGCAAGGCAGAGAACCTGCTCAAAGGGCAGAGTAAATGCTCAACTCTGATGCCTCCAAACGTGTTTCCATCTAAATACAAGCTCTCCAAGCTCTGGTTTTTGAAGAGTCCAGCTGCTACATACACAACTTCCTTATCTTTCAAAAGTTTTCGACAAGATTACCTCTTTGAGGCTCTGGTTCTGTTCCAAAACCCATTGAAACTTCTTTGCCCATCGTGACTTCAACCCCACTCCAGTAAGGTCGAGTGACTGACAGTTGAGCTCCACCCGAGAGCGCAGGCAACCCTGCAAGCACCCTAAAGATCAAGCCTGTAAATTCTAAATGTGCTGTTTTTGGGTAGAAATTCAACCACCTTCGAACTTCTTTCTCCGTTTTCTCCACTCCAAACATGGACTTGCATAGTCCTATTTATTGCAAAAACTGCAGAAACAAGTGGAGTTGCAGTGATTGAATTCGTGTAAAAAATCGTCAACACCTTCAGAGTTGAGTTCACTTCAATCATCTTCGAGAGCTCCTCTGCGCCTTTCGACCCAATTGAGTCTTCCCATATCTGCAACTCCTCCAAGCTCTCATTCACCTTAAGAGCAGAAGCAAGAAATGCAGCTCCAGCAGACCCAATGCGTGATTCCGAAAACATAATCTCTTTGATTTCTCTATTCCTCTTCACAATCTCACACAACTCTGCCAAGCATTGTTTGCCAAATCTGTTTCTCCTCAACACCACTTGCTTGATACTCAAACTACTCTCAGGCAACGCCGAAAGCTCGCAAACCTGCTGCACTTCCCGCTCGACCTGGTGAAACTCCCAAGTTCCTCAAAAGTTGGTTGGTTTTGGATGTCGCTAAAACTGCAACCCAGAAGCCATTGGAGATCTTTGAGATTGTTCTGGCTTGTTGCCATTGCTGTAACAAAAAGAAAATGGCCAAAATATTTGTTTTGTGATGATTATGTCAGGATCAAGATCATATCAGTGACATTGTTGATAACTGTTCTGTAAGTTAATAAGAATTTGTAGTAAAATAATTGGCAAACCGCGTATTCTTTATTCGGTGTAAGGGTGCAACTTTTGCCTTTTATGATTCATATATTCTCAACTTCCACATCAGGGTATGTTGCCTTTAAGCCATCTTGTTTCAAAAGGTGTAACGTGAACACTTCTCTCCTTGTTTTGCACTCTGTGCATGGCTAGCCATAACGAGGAAGAACAACTTACATAACATGGCACACCATCATGTGATGTTTCGTGTAAATGAATTAAGGAATATCGACAAGAATTTACATATGTATTTACTTCATTAACACGGGACACTATCGTAATAGTGTACCAGTGTCATATTAATCCTTCTCCATCTGAGAAGGTCATGTCTGGATAACCTACTATTTTGTGGGAAGGGAAATAATATGCGGTAGCTACCACCGCATAATCGATCCGCTATGCTCCACTGTTATGTCGAGATAATTTCGAATCCCGAATCTAGTCTAGTCCTACACATTATCCTACCCAACTTTATCACTAGGCTAACCCCGGTTGCTTAATCAATCTATATAATTTAATGTGGAAAAATCTAGGCAAATCACTAGCAAGGGCCAAGCATACAACATGGGAAAAGACAGGTTTTGAGGGCAATGCCAACTTTATTGACATTTTGAGCTGCGAGCAATGCTCCTTTTTCTCTTTTTTTTTCCTTTCCAACTGAAAAGAACAAAGGAATCCTATACAGCACAAGAAAAAGGCGAGCGAGTGTTGGGGGGACAAATAGAAATCTTATGTGATTTCCAATCATTGGGACTCTACCGTTTAGCTTCAATTAAGTTCATCAGGGAAAGTACAGAAAATATAAACCGCACACTGTTTTTCTCCTGCACGCCCTTATTTGTTTATGCTCTTTAATTCGCCTTTGATTTAAACCAACGAAGAGCGAGCAAGAGGAGAGGAGAAAATGAGCGTCGAAATTGCTTCCCTAAAATTATTCTCATTTTCCACAGAATTGAGAAGAAACAGAAAGTTGTATGAGAAAAAAGAGGAGAAAACAATTGAACTTAAAAACAATGAATCAAAATGTTAAGTAACTTATTGGATTGGGGTTACCCCAGTTGGGAGTCCCTCTATTGTTTCACACTAGTAAATCAGAAAATCTCACATACAATCTGAGAGAAAAAGCAAATCCCAGAAGAAACATAACAACCAACAACTTCGCCAGCTAACAGAAACGAAACGAAATGAAAGAAAACCCGAAATTCAGAAAAATCAATTGCTCTATCTCTTTCGACAGACTAATGCTGGCTCGTCCCACCGAAGATGCAAGGTACATTAATTGAAACCGTCTTCCTGAGTATGTATCCCGCAATCTGATGCTACACCTCAATCGAATTTGAAGAAAGGAACCTAAGATTTCGAGGAACAAAAGCAAATCCCAAACCTTGACAGAAATTTCCATGTAACTGCTTTCCCTCTGAATGTGTATACTTCCAAATCAAGGAACCTCGTTAGAACTATATCAGTTTCCTTATAAGCTGAAAATCTTAATAAGGGAGACGTATAATATTCACAACCTTCAACATTTGACTGGTTTCAGTTCACCTACTATCACCTCTTCATACCCAAACAAATCACCTAAGCAGCAACTCCTGAAGTACATATTATCAAAGAAGAAAGAACAGAAAACAATGTGAATTCGATGAAAATAACGTCTAACTATTAGCATACAACTAATTTGACACGTTAAAAGAGAAGCATTAAAAAATCTTCATTTCTGTTACATATAATTTGGACAACTTCAACGTGCATGACCGTTAATGGAAACTCAATTAACGTCATCCATATCAATTTTCAAAAATTTAGGTTTGGGTGCTGGAATGTTATCTTATCTCTTGCATATATGAATGTGAACATGAAGAATGTTGTGGAATCAGTGTTATTAGTATCATACAGAAAAGGGGCTGTAGTTTTCTATCTTGTGTTTAAAGTTTAAACATATGTAACTTTCATATGAATCATCCGCAATCGAGAAAGATAAATCTTTTATATTCAAGAAAAGACTTGTTCATTTGGAATTACCGTGTTCTCTATAAATTTCAGTTATAAGGAGATAGTTACCTCTATTTGGTTGTGTACTGGTAACGTTGTAACCTCCAATATAGCCACCAGAACTTTTGGTTGTGACGTCTGCAGGTAAATCGCTCAGCCCATAACCAAATGTGCTAGAACCATCTGGATCAGGACTGCTAGAGCGCCAAGTTGAGTCGCCATAAACTGAACCGTTCTGGTACAAGTCCCCATAAAAGCCCTCATAACCAACAGTTGATCCGGGAAATGAAGGCATTGGGGCTATACCAGTGCCACCGTTTCTTCCATATCCTCCTCCTCCCAACCCAAAGCTGCTACCTCCACTTCCATAACCATTGGCACTATTATAGCCAGAATCACTGCCTCTACCTTCAGTTGAAAAAGAATTAGCGCCCCAATTTGAACCATTGTTTCCAATCGTAACTTCAAAACCTCCATTTGCAGAGCTCAAGTAGGCCCCGGTACTGGCAGGGTTCGAGTTGTTGTTGATGCCACTATTTTGCCAGACATTCCGAGTAGTTGAGTTTACTACAGGACTGCTCCTTCCATTACCGGCATTATACCCAATAGGGGTACTATACCTGTTTGAATTGCCACTATAAAAGGGGCTTAACATCCGTGCATATCCTAGACTACTGCCAAAGTTGGAATTTCCGCCATAGGTTGGGCTCAACCCTGGCTCCATATTCACACCTATTCCATATCCAGAAGTGCCAAATGGAGACAACCCGCTACGACCACTAGAGATTGGATTGAACCTGGTGTCCATGTTAATGCCAAAACCTCCGATTGGGCTCGTATTATAACCCTGAGCATAGCTGTTCAGCAAACTATTGGTTCTACCCGGACTATAGTTGTATCCTATCATAGGGCTCCTGCTGGGTCCTGGGGATAGCTCCTTAGGGACTGCCCTCTTGACCTCAACCATCTTACCATTGAGTTCATGAAATGTTTTATGCAGAACTCTGTCAACAGCCTCCTCCGAGTCATAAGTGATAAATCCGAAGCCTCTTGGCCTTTGAGTCTTGTGATCATACATTACTACAACATCAGTGACTGTACCAAATTGATCAAAGTACTTCTTAAAGTCACTCTCGGTCACTGTGGATGCTAAACCTCCAACAAAAATCTTTTTTGTGCGTCCAGGACCCGGGGAACCATTGACAACCCCGATTCTGTTTAAAATGTGCTGATCCTCCTTAGGAACAGCCTTCTTTGCTTCCACCTAAAATTGAAAACAACAAACTTAACAAAATTATTAGTGCCATCCTAAGTTCGCGTGTTGCAGATTCCAAATAACCAAATGCAATTTGAATTGATTGACTCAAATCTAGTGAGAATACAGATAATCGAACTAAACGGTTTTGTTTCGTTAACCATAAATGCGAACTAAACGTCATGTCTATGAGAATATGATCCTTACTAAAAATCCTACAACAGAATTGACATAAAGATAGATCGGAAGCGATACTCACTGTGCGGCAATCGATCATGTGCTTATCCATGACAACTCTTTCTGCAACCGCAGGATCCGCAAAGACAACGAACCCGAATCCACGAGCACGACCGGTTGCACGATCCCTCATGATCACAGCCTCCACCACCTCTCCATACTTCCTGAAATATTCCTTGAGCCGTTCCTCATCTGTGTCCCAGGAAATCCCACCAATGAAGAGCTTCCCATGATCTGGTTCCATCTTTTTCTGCAACAAAACATCACAAATCCGACCACCTAATTCAATTCTACTGAAAAAAAAAAACACACTTAGAAACATATGCAATTCAATCTGAATTGAAAATCCGCCGAAGAACTTCATAATTCAACAGGAAACGGCAAACTTTTCATCGTTAATAAATCTGAAAAGACTCCGATAATCGAAAAAATCGAAACATAGAGATCAAAATGTGCATGAGAACAAGACATTACCTTGTCCAAAATTCAGACAGAACCCGGATAGTGCTCTGATTGAAACAACAATTAGGAAACGTCAAATCCAATCTTGGAGCATCAGATCCTTCATGAAACAATCAGAAGAACAACAAAGTGGATTTCCTAAACAAAAAAAAAAGCAAAAAATTAAAAAATTGAGCGGAGCTGTTGTGGATCAGAAAACCAGACAGACCCAACAATTCAAAACAAGATGAACAAAAAAAATCAAAGAAGTTGAAAACCTTTACCATTTGAGGAGGACCCAGATGAGAAAAAAGATGAAAACTAAGATCCAAGGAGTGGGATTGGAATATATGTAATGAAAAAAACAGAGGAGGATGTGGTGGTCATCCTCTCTATTTCTCTCTTTTGCTATTCTCTGTCTCGTGGCTATTCCACTCCCTGCCTTATAAGTATATTTAAAAATTTTAAATAATAAAAAAGAAATGGGGAATTTGGAGGAGCTTCAGATAGGCAAGGGGTAAGGGACAATTTTTATAAATAGACTGACAATCCACTGGTCTAAGAATATTAGGAGGAGCCAAAGAAGGGAAGATGATGACAGAGAGGAGGTTTCTTTTGCTCGAAGAAATTTAAAAACCAAAAAACAAAATTAAAGTAAGGAAAATGTTGCATTGTTGTACTATACTCGCCACATGCTCTTAAGACAAATTATAGAGCATTCAAGTACAGTTGCTTGACTTCTTCTAAGGTCTTTTTTAAGAAGCATACGATATTTATTGATGAGAAAAATGAATAAGGGCCTAGTTGAGAATTCAGTGCATTATAGAGGTTTCGATAAAAACTTTTTTGGAGATTTTGACTGATCAAAGGAAAAAAGAATGTACTACACCTAAGTTACCTAAGTTTATAAATTCTAGCAATCTTGAAATAACATATAATCAATTAAATCAAGAATTCCTAGAACCAAATCAAATCATTTCCCACCGATAGTTCGAAGCATGCGATTGCACGTAAGCACCAAACCTAACATTAGACATTTGTATTTTGGTGCCCTTAAAACATAACACTTAGTAGTACAATCTAATAGTATTCTTGTTCACTTGTAAGTGAGAGATCTTATACCCTTTTCCAGCAAAAAACTTTCCCTCTTCCAACAAACCCTAGCCGTCACCCCCTTCGCCGTCGGCCTTTGGCTATGGCTGGGGGCTGGTGGCAGCCTCTCCCCTCCATTTCCTAGCTCTTCCTCCCTTCCTTCCCCCCTCTTCCCCTTCTCAGCCATCCCCCTCCCTTTGCCATTCTCGTTTCTTCCCACCACCTTACTCCGACCCCTTCTTCCCGACCCTTCACTTCCTTATCTCCCCTCCCTTGCTTCTCTCCCCCCATTTTGAGTGTAGATATACATGGATCTATGCCCTATAGCCTGACATGGGCCTTGCCTTTTCAAGATTTTCTTCGATTGGCGCTCGTTTCCTAGTGTGGGGTTTAAATCTGTGCTGCAGGTGGGCTGGATCCCCCATCTTCGAATTGGTTTCCATGGTGGTGTCTCCCTCATCGACGACTTCAATGCTTTCCGCTCTGGAGGTTTGGCTTGGTCTGGGAGCTTAGCGAGTTCATCTCGTTGAGGCTCGGCTCAGCTTTAGCGTCTTGGTGTGGCTCGGCTTGGCTTGAGTGTGGACGCCGGCGCCCCACTGTCCAGATTTTGTGGGTGATCTAGGCCTAAGCACCTCGGTCCCCCTACTTTTGAGTTGTTCATCGGATCTTTCTCGGTGTAGTTTAGTTCCTATCGCTCCTGTGCACCGCGGTGACGCTGGTGTTTTGGCTAATTTGGTTTTCGCCTTTGTGCGTTGTTATTATGAGTCTCGTTTGCTAACAATGACTTTGTTGTGCATGGTCTCGCACTTTTGCGATGATTTTTTGTGGCCTCGCTATTCAGCGATGACCGTTGTGTCTACTAGTATCTCTCTGTTGTCGCTATTGTTTATTGTGACAGATCTATACTGGTAGTTTTGTGCGCTTGGCCACTGTGTGATTGAACTTGTGGATGTCTACTAGGGGCTTAATGTTATTTGTCAACTTTGTGCAAATTCATTCCAGATCAATTTATTGGTCACTAGAATTATGTACCCAATGACACTCTGTATTTGCTTGGTGTTGATTAATGAAAGGCTATGCTATCGTTTCTGGTAAAAAAAAGTGAGAGATCTTAAGCTCAATTAAAAAAAATCATGCTCTTGTCGAAGAAATTATAATATTTGACAAGAAAATAAAACCAAAAGACAAAACAATAAAACTACAATTCCGTTAAGTTTTTTATGGGATCTCAAACGATTAAATTAAATTATGTGGACACCTTATGAGATTTATGTGTAAGAGATGTACTCTAAATGTGAGTGAGAGCTTTAATATGGTATATACGTGTTCTGATATGTAAGTAATCAGACAAATATTAGTATTGGACTAAAAAGGTTTGATTCTAATCAATTATTATGAGGAAAATTAAATGAACTCGTTTTGAATTAAGAAGTGATTAAGACCTCTTAGGAAACTCGTTGTAACCGACTCCATGATAGGAGTGGTTACCAACACATACGTGCACATCTTTGGCTTCTTTTTCCCATGTTAACGTGTTCAATACACGCTCGTCTTAGTGAGGGCAAGAACTTCAAAGAAAGAAAAGATCGAAGCACGTATTCATGATTTTTGCTGGTACGAGCTGATATTGATTAGAGTTTACTTCAAATTAGACGTACTGACTAGTAGAGCGTGGTTTAATGACTTTATTGATTTCGAAGTTGCTCAGTAATGGTGTATATTTAATGTTTTCATTATGTGTTCTTAAAGTAATACACATTTCCAAAAATTACCATGCAACAACAAGAAGTTTGACTATCGCCGCATAAATTAATTTATTTTTCAGACAAGTAATGCTACATTTATCACATATTTGTATAATTATTTGTAACATCTTTTTAATAGAAATAGGGCACACTAACACATACGGGTCTCATCTCTATTAGATGGATGATACAAATACGTGGTAAGAATAATATTTTTGTTTTCTGAATAAGTCTACTCATTTTCCAAAACTAATTTTAGTAATCGACACTCTAATTAGAATCAAGAATGTGAGATCTACCGACTACCAACTCTCCATGAGACACTTAATTCATTGGAAAATTAACCTTTGAGGTATAACATCACCATTCAAACTCAATGAACTTTTGCTGGCATTGTCTCTCAGAATTTTTCTTGATATTATTATTATTATTATGTGCTCTCCGAAGTCGTGATTTTCTTTAGTAGAGCAATATCCTACTCTAAACAATGGGAAATTAGATTTAAGTCACCATATGAGTCATCCATAATAATTAGGTTTTCAACTTGTCGTTTAAGTACGTTGAATCTGAGATATTCACTTACAAATGAAGTGATGACATAAATACTGATTAGTCGCTTTGCATAGTGATGAGCTGCTGTTTTAATACTTTCAATTTCTCAAACAACCGACCCTAGTAAAGAAAACATTTCCAAACATGAATACCGAGGAGGTTGAACATGTCGTTATAGATCAAGGAAGCATGAAATGTACTATTTGTGGCCTTTTTTGTTCTTTTTTTTTTCCTTTGGGCAATACCGAGTAGGAGGCCTTTGTTAATTTGTTCGTGAGTGAGTTATATACAGTATGTAGTGGAGAGAGGACCACATGCATTCCATGTGTCATGTGATTCTAAAGAAAGATATGAGCCAAAAATCAAGCATATCATCCTGATTATCCATTTATTTATTTATGCATGGAATAATGGACGAAAAGATAAGAGTCGACGTGACCACACATAAGATCAACCTCATGATCGATCGATATCAAAACTGAAATTCCATGTGATTGCATACAAACATAAAGGTGGCATTTACATGTATAGAGACATGAAAGTTGACCTTGCTGGTCACTACAAGAAAAATGAGCTTTGGGTACAAAACAAAGGGCACAATTGAAAATTTTGTGTCTATTTGACCATCAAAAGGCTGAAACAATTATCATTCCATAGAAGACACCATCTATATATGGTGCCCAATGTTAAAAAAAGAGAGACACAAAACAGTAATGGGCACAGAAGCCGTGCCGAGTAGGATTAGATGACAACTTTTTTACTAAAGATGGGCACAAAAAACATTTTGTGCCTATAAAATATGTTTGTCAGCAGTGCTGTATGTCCATCCAGCCTTGCATGTGTCAGATTTGGAAATTTTTTTATTAATTTACAAAAACATGACAAAGGTTATTGTGCCCTCTAGTTTAATATATTTAAATAAAAAGAAAGTTTTGTGTCCCTACATATTTACTTTTGTGTTGAAAAGATTGGTGGGTAATGAATGCCCACAGTACATTGGTAGAAGTTTTCAATGCCCATGCAAAGTGAAATTGAATTTGTAAATGCATGAAGGTTGTATTGTCAAAGAAAGTGTTGTAAACTTCAATGTGCAGTTAATGCATCAGTTTGGAGTTGTCCTATAAATAGAGCACTCCGTATACTTTCAAGTGATAGAAAAATATAAAAAGAAGAGAACGAGAGAAAAGATCAATAACATCATCTATTCCTCCGTCTTTTATTTGTTATCTTCTTGTGCTATAGTTTCAGTGTGATATTTTACACTTGCTTTACTTCATTCACTAAAATGTTATCTCTCTAACTTTGACTTATTTATAACACGTTATCAACATGAGTCTCTAAATATAATTATTTTCTCATCTCTCTTCACCGAACGAAAGAAAGAAAAAAAAAAAGTTTCCTCTAAGGTTTTTACTGTTAATCTTCTTCTTTTGCCTCAACTGCGTGGTATACCCTCGCGACGAACTGTTTGCTCTATGCCTGCTCTTAGTTTTCAACCTAACGATTACATATATCTTTGATTTCTTGTTTGGTTTGGATATTGATTGCTAACTCAGTGTTTATTTATGTTAATTTTACTGCAATCCAAGATTTTTGGTATAATCGTCCATTTTGAACTGCAAATTTATTCTTACTGCGATCCAAGACGGTGCGGTATCATTGCTTATCTTGGATTGCATATTTAATTTTACTACAAATTTTAGTTGGAGTGGTATAATCGCCCACCTTATCCTGCATATTTAAATTTACTTGCTGTTTAATTTCATTGCAATTTTAGGTGGTGCGGTATAATTGCCCACACTGCTCTACGTATTTAAATTTTTCTGCTACTTGAGTGGTGCGGAATAATCGCCCATTCTATGTTACATTATTTCAATGAGAATGGTGCGGTACAATCGCCCTCCTCATTCACTCTGAAAATCTCGAGCCAGAAGTTTCGAGTGCTTATCATTTTGGCCTGAAGATCAAAATGAAAAATTTGTAAGAACCAGAAGTTCTAACATCATATTCCTCCAGGAATACATATTATTACAAGTTCTTACACATTTCATTTTCTTTCAGAAAAGAAAATGGCAAACTTGGCGAAACTTGAATTTGCTGTCCTGGATATTATCGGAAAGAATTACCTGACCTGGGAACTAGATACCAAGATCCATCTAGAAGCAGAGAATCTTGGAGATACCATTAGGGAAGAGAGCAGCTCATTCTCTCAAGATCGAGTAAAGGTCATAATTTTCATTCGTCGCCATCTTGATGAGGCGCTAAAGAGCGAGTACTTAATGGTTGAAGATCCGTTAGCTCTTT